TCCTACTATATGCCAAGAACTTTTCTAGGCTCTAGGGATAAGGCTGTCAACACAACAAAGTCTATCCTCTCACGGAGCTTACCGTTCAAGTGGAGATAAGAAGAAAATCATTATACTTGCCTGGTAGTGATAAACATTATGACAAGAAAGCAGCGGGTGAATGTATGTACGGTGAAGGGGAATGCTATTTTAAATAGTATAGTCAGGGAAGGTCTCTTTGAGGGGAACAGAGACCTGGATGAAGAAGGAGCAGCCATGGGCCATCTCGGGGAAGAGCACTCCAAGCAGAAAACAGCAGCACAAAGGCCCTGAGACGGGAGAGTGCCTGAGGGGTCTGGGGCACACAGGCAGGTCAGTGTGGCTGGAACAGTGCTGTGCATGGCACCAGTACTGCAAAGAAAGCTGAAAACATGGGAAAGGACCTATTATGAACCAGTGCTGTCAGAAAAGGGGAGACAAGGTAATGTGGAGCCGTGGAGGAAGTGAAGGACTTACAAAAGTGAAACCAATAACAGGAACAAAGCATAGAAACCAGAGTGATAATAACAGTAATAACTAACAGCACTTATTAAGTGCCAGACACTGCTCCACAAACTTTTAAAAACCTAGAGTATTTCATATAATCCTTACAAAGCCTTGTTGTCTCCCTTAACAGATTAGAAAAAAGAGGCCAGAGAAGCTACCTAACTTGTCTGAGGTCACAGGCTGGTAGGGCAGGATTTAGGCTCAGGCCACCGGACTGCCAGCACCACACCCTCACTCACTGTGCTGATGTGCACTGTGCAATTAAGGGGGATGGACAGTTGAGATTGGCGAGGAAGGAGGAAGGAGAAAGGGAGAGGACCAGAGAAGCACACAGACAGCAGACTGAGGAAGGGCACTCGGGCGCCACTCAGCATTTTTCTCAGGTCAGCAGCACATGAAGACAGCCATTTTAGGAAAATTAGCTTGGCAAAATTGAGGGAGAAGGAGAAGGAAGGCAACGACGGCAGGTACAGCAGTCTGGGTGTGAGATGACTCGGGCCGGGTATAGAGAAAAATCAACAGGGATGGAAAGGGATAAGTGGGTATGGACAGATTATGTGAGATTAAGAAGGTAGAAAACCAACTACACAGTCGTACGCCACTTTCTGAAAGCTTCAGAGAATTTGCAGAGGGACTTTGTTTTTGGCAAAGTCCCTTAGGGTGAAGCTCAAGATTGGTCACCACTGCTTTCAATCCCGAACCTTTCCATTCTTTGAGAGTGTGATGCTGCTGACCTCATTTCCCAGCCTCTCAGCTTAAGAGTGCTATTGAAGTTGTCACTGTCAAATTCTGCTTACAGCTTTAGCAAAAAGATCTAGAAGGCTACCTCCTACTGACCTCTTCATCTCGATATTCCAAACAGGTATGGCATTAGACATTTCAGTCAGAGAATGTATTGCCACTGCAAAATTTGAAGGATTAGATGAATGCAGGTTTTCAAACCTGTGTTTCTAAAAATGGGACAAGAATCTTCATCCTATTATACTTCATGAGATCAAAATCTCTATTCTGACAAAAGAGGAGACATCTATGACTTTTTCGACATGAATGTGCTTGTTAAGCCTTAACCCTTTCTTCTCCTTTCTTAAGTGCTTGTACAAATAGCATGGTATTCAACAGAATAAAATGGGAGTGAAAACCCGTGGCCTCCGTTCTGGTTTGATCACTCAACTACCTGTGCCGGTCACAGCCTTTCTGTGCAGAGGTTTCCCCACTGGTAAAGAAGAGGGCTGGCTTCGGTGACCTTTCCAGATCTACAACACCATGATCTGCAATCCTGATCTTTGTCTTTCTCAGAGAAATGAAAATTTAAAATGAGGAAAATGATTAAAGTGTTAAAACAATGTATTAGAGGAGAGATCTTCAGTATAATAGAACAGCACTTCTGGTACAGTTATTTTTAGAACATAAGCTGCTTAAGGACAGGGACCACTTTCAGTTTATTTCGTCTGTCATTGGAAAGAAAGACTGCACAGGCAGCAGAGAGGGCAAGGGGGCCTTCCTCGGTTCTGCATGTGAACCAGCAGACCCATATGCAGAGCGGCACTGGCTCCACAAGGCCCACGGTAGGCCTGGCCTGTGCTCTTTCCCACATCCTACTAACTTTTATTCACAATGGCATCTCCTCACCAAATGGAAATCCTGCTCACAGGGAAGCAACTAGCATTTTCTCTGGAAAACAGGAAAACAGAGAACTCTTTGGCTCTGACTGTTGCTAGAACTGTGGTGGCTGGTTCCCACAGTGACACGGAACTCAGAGTGGCTGAGACTATGTGATGCAACGACAGAGCCAGGGTGAACAGGAGCACTTGGGGACGTTTCACTCGGACCTTGGGAAGCTGCAGTTGCAGCAGGCAACTGTAATTGTCCGTCACAGACATACTAGCAGACAGCAATAAAATCTAACGTGCTAATGAAAGGATCTAGATGGCATCGAGTGTAAGATCTGGGGAGTCAACGACTAAAAACAACAGCGACCAGGACTTCTCTGCAACAATCACAATCCAGGCCTCTTCCCATGGTCCCTATATCCAAGGTAGAGGAGAAAGAATCTCCTGAACCAGTGAACAAATTGGCAGCATGACTGATGATCTTCAATATTGATGAAAACACAACCACAGAGTCCAATACAATCAGCTCTCCTTATCTGTAGGTTTCACATCTCCCTCCATGCAACCAATCATGTATCAAAACCCACAGATACGGGGGACAACTGTGTGTATTCTCCACCTGCAGATGGTTCAATCTGCAGATGTGGAACCCGTGGATACAGAAGGCCAACTACTGTGTGTCCAGCCAGCATTGCGCTGCCTCCCTCTTAGGAACACTGAGGTGCAAGGGGTAAAGCACTGAGGGCTGGCTGGGGAATGCAGCCTGGTAACCTCACTCAGCCTTTCACGCCGATTTGCTCCGCATTCCCCTGCTGAAACATCTCGTGGGCTGTTCAGTGCCGTGAAGGAGGAGGCTGGGGTCCGTTGCCTTAGCCCTCCCACCAACCTACTCAGCATCCCAGGCAAGACACTGAGCTCTGTCCCCAGGGTCCCATCACTGGGTGATGCTGACCCAGCACCTCACTGTAGCACAGGGAATGTCACCGGGCAGTGCTATCCTGGTAACTATGTAAGCTGGACAGGTGTTATTTACTGGTATGACATGATTATCATTCAGGCTTCATTTAATCCACTAAGTGTTTAAAAATTAATATAAAGAGGGCTGGGCATGGTGGCCCATGCCTGTAATCCCAGCACTTTGGGAGGCCAAGGCAGGCGGATCACTTGAGGCCAAGAGTTCGAGACCAGTCTTGCCAACATGGTGAAACCCTGTCTCTACTAAAAATACAAAAATTAGCTACGCGTGCAGCAGGCACCAGTAATCCCAGCTACTCAGGAGGCTGAGGCATGAGAATCACTTGAACTCGGGAGGTGGAAGTTGTAGTGAGCCGAGATTGTGCCATTGCGCTCCAGCCTGGGTAAGACAGCAAGACTTCATCTCAAAACAACCAAAAAAACAAAGTTAATATAAAGGAAGACTCTGAGAACATGGGAATATTACTTTCTAAAAGGATCCTCTGTGTCCCTCTGCCCCTTCCCCTTGTCCTCACCTCCGAGCCCTTTCAGGCATTTACCCTGCCAGGCATGTGCCTAGAGATTGACAAGCACTCCCGCATTCAGCCTCACCACCACCCTAACCGAGCGGGCACTGTTGGCTCCACTTTACAGATGAC